GAAATATTCCTCTCTTGATGTTAACCTCTCCCAGTCTCTCACCAGTGACCTGCAACTGTGTCTTCCATTGTGCCATCGATCTTTGCACAAATTTTCTGATGTTTCTACTGACTCCTATTATTTCTAGGCACCTGATTATCCAGTCATGTGGCAGAGAGTCAAATGCCTTTTTGTAGTCAATCCATGCCACATTCAGGTTAGTCTTCCTTTTCTTGCAGTTTTCCAAAATCATTTTGTCTATTAGGAGTTGATCTTTTGTTCCTCTGCTATTGGGTCGGTTTCCTTTCTGCTCAGGTGGAAAGAGATCGTTTTCAATTAGATGCTGTTGTACTACATCAGCTACCACACCATACATCAGCTACCACACCATACATCTATTATTATTATTATTATTATTATTATTATTATTATTATTATTATTATTATTATTATTATTATTATTATTATTATTATTATTATATGTTAATACCACTTTATAATGCCTTGGTAAGGCCACACTTGGAATACTGCATCCAGTTTTGGTCACCATGATGTAAAAAAGAAGTTGACACTCTAGAAAGAGTACAGAGAAGAGCAACAAAGATGATTAGTGGACTGGAGGCTAAAATATGTAAGGAATGGTTGCTCTAATTGGGTATGTCTAATTTAATGAAGAGAAGGACGAGGGGTGACATGATAGCAGTGTTCCAATATCTCAGGGGTTGCCACAAAGAAGAGGGAGTCAAGCTATTCTCCAAAGCACCTGAAGGCAGGACAAGAAGCAATGGATGGAAACTAATCAAGGAGAGAAGCAACTTAGAACTAAGGAGAAATTTCCTGACAGCTAGAACTATTAAATCAATGGAACAACCTGCCTCCAGAAGTTGTGAATGCTCCAACACTGGAAGTTTTTAAGAAGAGACTGGACAACCATTTGTCTGAAATGGTATAGGGTTTCCTGCCTGAGCAGGGGGTTGGACTAGATGATCTCCAAGGTCCCTTTCAACTTTATTATTGATATACTAGTTGCCTGCAAGGAAGAACTGGTGAGACAACAAAATAGGCAAAGTAATAAAAATTTAAGAAGCTAAAGTGCTCTGGATCTTTATTATTCAAACAAACAAACAAACAAACAAACAAACAAACAAACAAACAAACAAACAAACAAACAAACAAACAAACAAACAAACAAACAAACAAACAAACAAACACATGCCACATAATACCCCAGACCTAAAATTATTTATAAGAAAGACAAAAATATCTGGTTAGTGGAGATTGCAGTACCTGGAGATTGCAGAATGGAAGAGAAAGAACTGGAGAAAATCACAAAATACAAAAATTTGCAAATAGAAGTAGAGCAANAAAGTTGTTGGTAAGCAGGTAATTGGCCTGTAGTTGCCTGGTGTTGCCCCTTTTGCTGGATTTTTCATTATTAGATAGGTTTTCCCAGTTGTTAGCCACTTTTCAATTTCTCCTCCTTGTAGTATATTGTTGAACTGTTTGGCAATGAGTGGATGTATAACAGTTAGATGTTTCAACCAAAACCCATGCAGTTCATCTTATTATTATTATTATTATTATTATTATTATTATTATTATTATTATTATTATTATTATTATTATTATTATTATTATTATTATTGATCATCGCACAGTCAGCCAGATGTTCAGACTGGATTTGGCATTTTGTCTACCTATCGAGTCCTTACCCAGGACCTGGGATAGGCAGATGTGGATGTTTGATGGTATTACAGATATTGTCGCAGGATGGAAGCTGTTCCCAGTAAAGCCGCCTTTTGCAATTGACTAATAGCTAATTTGTCAGTGCCAATGGTGTTCAAGTGGTGCTCCAGTTGTTTTGGGATTGCACCCAAGGCGCCTATTACTATTGGTACTACCTTTGCTTGCTTTTGCCACAGTCTTTCTATTTCTATTTCTATTTCTATTTCTATTTCTATTTCTATTTCTATTTCTATTATTATTATTATTATTATTATTATTATTATTATTATTATTATTATTATTATTATTATTATTATTATTATTATTATTATTATTATTATTATTATTACAAGGCTCTGGAAGTGGCTTCCAGTTCACTATCGGTGATGTTACAACTGTATCACTCCGTGTGCCAGACGGGTCAGCTTCCGGATCATCACAAGCTTCCCCTTCATTTTTCACTTGGCTCAGGACAAGAACGATAACTGGGCATTCTTTGCAAGCTTCCTCTGTCTTTGGGGGTGGCCCGAGGACCTTTGAAAATTGTGGCTTAATCACCCAGGAATGCTTGGTACTCGGCACCCGATCGTCCACATCTGTTCAATATGCCAAAATCTCCATACTGCAAGGCGGAAGCCAGCAGGGTGTCTCTGCATTCCCATTTGGGCCCCCAGCAGGCCCCCAGTCAGCTTAAGCACCAACCTGCGGGGGGCTTCGAAGGCCTCCCACAGTCTGCGCCACCCTGGTGCCATCCCATGCTCTCCCACCCTTAGCCTGCGGGGACATCAAGCAAATGTAAACCCTTCCCCCACGGAGCCCATGGGCTTAAATCTGATTTTACGGCAGATGCCTCATTTTTCAGCGTAATAAGGGAATTTGCAGCCGGAAGACGAGGGATGATGTGCTAATGATTAAGCCAAGAGGCTCAGAACTGAGGCCAGGTTTCCTTCATGGAGGCTGAGCATTGCCTTCGTAACACTGATGCTACTCTGAGGATCTTTAGCTGTTGGTTTTTAAAGAATGTTTTCCCCTCCTATAAATATGTTGGGGCTGTGGGTGCAGGTAAAAGAAACAAGGATTGAAAAGGAAAGGGTGGCATGTGAAAGAGAGAAAAAGGGATAGGCACATAAGGGTAGTCCTCAACTTCCAACACTTCGTTTAGTGACCGAAGTTACAACAGCTCTGTAAAAAGTGACTTATGACCGTTTTTCACACAGCATCCCCACAGTCACATGATCAAAATTCAAACACTTGGCAACTGACTCATATTGATGACGGTCGCAGTGTCCCAGAGACATGTCTATAATAATAATAATAATAATAATAATAATAATAATAATAATAATAATAATAATAATAATAATAATAAAAGTTGGAAGGGACCTTGGAGATCATCTAGTCCACCCCCTGCTCAGGCAGGAAACCCTATACCAGTGGTGGCGAACCTATGGCACGGGTGCCAGAGGCGGCACTCAGAGCCCTCTCTATGGGCACGGGCGCCGTCGCCCCAGTCCTAGGCCTTCAGCTGGGTTTTATAAAACCTTTTTGCTTTAGGCCTCCGCTGCCTTGTGCAAAAAAAAAAAAAAGGTTCAATCAATCAGTTAATTTCAACTTCTCGCGGGAAAAAAAAATCTTGCAAAGTTGGAATTGATTGATTGAACTTTTTAGTCCCACCCAGTCTGCTGTTACCACTGCAGCCACGCCCACCCAATGGGCCACACCCACCCAATGGGCCACACCCACCCGGCACCCAAGGATACATAAGTGGTTTTGGGTTGCAGTTTGGGCACTCGGTCTCTAAAAGGTTCGCCATCACTGCCCTATACCATTTTGGACAAATGGCTGTCCAGTCTCTTCTTAAAAACTTCCAGTGTTGGGGCATTCACCGCTTCTGGAGGCAGGTTGTTCCACTGGTTAATTGTTCTCACTGTGAGGAAGTTTCTCCTTAGTTCTAGGTTGCTTCTCTCCTTGGTTAGTTTCCATCCGCTGCTTCTTGTCCTGCCTTCAGGCGCTTTGGAGAATAGCTTGACTCCCTCTTCTTTGGGGCAGCCCCTGAGATACTGGAACACTGCTCTCCTGTCCCCCCTCGTCCTTCTCTTCATTAAACTAGACATACCCAATTCCAGCAACCGTTCCTTATATGCTTTAGCGTCCAGTCCCCTGATCATCTTTGTTGCTCTTCTCTGTGATTACCTTTTACGTTTCAAACTTTTATTGGTTTGTCAAAATATAAAATACAAAAAGAAATCCAAAAAAGCAATAAAAAAGTAGGGTGAGGGAAAAGAAAAAAAAAGGTATGGTGTATAGAGGGAAAAGGAAAGATCCCCTTTCGTGGCCTTCTGACGAGCAAAGTCAATGGGGAAGCCAGATTCACTTAACAACCCTGTTACTAACGTATCCACTGCAGTGATTCACTTAACAACTATGGCAAGGAAGGTCGTAAAATGGATCAAAATTCCCTTATCAACATACATTTTGGGCTCAATTGCGGTTATACATCGAGGACTACCTGTATATTGTTGGCTGCCTCTAAGAAGGAATATTCCATCGGTACTCCCTTAAGGTAGAACTGAACAATGCAAGCCCTTAAAATTGTGGGTGACCCCTAAAAACCTGGGGGTGTCCCCCCTAGATTTCCTGCAAAACTTCCTTCCAAATTGCTTTTGTAAAAGATGATGAAACATGAAGAGTTAAATACATTGGGGCGAGACTGCAATCGTTGTAAATAGTTTACTTTCCTTTGTTAGATGGATGGTTGGATGAACAGATGGGTTAATGGTTTTATATCCTGATTTTCATGCAATGGTTATTTGGGATAGACGGGACTGAAAGAGAAATTGTTGCAAAAGGAGATGGAAGTGTAGAATCTTGCAAGACTTGAAAGTATTTCTCTCCTCTTTTCCTTTTGCTCTCTGGAAAACTAGGGAGGGTCCCTTCTCAGATGCTTCCCTCCTTCTGTGGGCTGAGAGACTTTTCCCATGCCAATTGTCCTGTTTGAAGCTCTTCTTCCTCTATCCCAGGGGAAGGCAACCTTGGCTCTTTTATGACTCGTGGACTTCAACTCCCAGAATTCCTGAGCCAGCCATGCTGAGGGAAAAGGGAGAGGTTTCCATGCTGAGCCATGCTGGCTCAGGAATTCTGGGAGTTGAAGTCCACCAGTCATAAAAGAGCCAAGGTTGCCTACCCCTGCTCTATCCCAAGGTCCCACAAACACAGACACACAAGCAGATGGCATCACACCTCAGATTACCAGATCTGAGCTGCAAAGCGTCAGTCAGCCACTAGATGGCAGCAAGGAAATGCATAGAACTTTATTTCTTTATTGACCTCTGAGGGTCGTCTGGTTTTTTGCAGGCGGGATTGAGGAACCCTAATCAAACCAATTGGTTTAAGGGAACACATGTTTGCAAAGTGCAAGGAATCTTAGGGGAAATTTTAGGGATTGGGGGAATGTATTGCTACCCATTGGGGGCCCAGACCTCTCAGTATCCGTGGAATGAGAATGTATTGTGGAAGAAGTGAACCTCAAACCTCAGATTAAGAGGAAGTGAGAGATGACAAGGAATAGCCAAGATCTTCAAAAGGAAGCAACTGGACTTTCTTGTTTTTCTTTGAAGACATTTCACTTCTCATCCAAGAAGCTTCTTCAGCTCTGACTAGATCAGTGTTTCTCAACCTTGACAATTTTAAGGCATGTGGACTTCAACTCCCAGAATTCCACAGCCAGCAATGCTGGCTGTGGAATTCTGGGAGTTGAAGTCCACATGCCTTAAAATTGTCAAGGTTGAGAAACACTGGACTAGATGGTGGGGAATGGAAGGATTTATATTCGTTGCAGATTATTTGCAGCTGGTTGTTTGCATTCTTTTAGAGCAGGGGTAGTCAACCTTGGCTCTTTTATGACTTGTGGACTTCAACTCCCAGAATTCCTGAGCCAGCTTAGCTTAGCTGGCTCAGGAATTCTGGGAGTTGAAGTCCACGAGTCATAAAAGAGCCAAGGTTGACTACCCGTTTTAGAGCATGGGTGTCAAACTCGCTTTGTCACGTGATGTGTCACAACGTATTGCGACTTTTTTTTCGCATTGCCAGAGCTGGAGTGGGCGTGGCTTCCGCGTGATGCAAACGGCCCGTGGGCTGGCAGTTTGACACCCGTTTTAGAGAGTCGTTCAGGGCATTTGGAGATTTTCTGTGTCCTCAAGGTCACCTGATTAGTGCAAGAAGGCTCCACACACATTTTCATTACTCAGGTGATCCTGAGGATACAGAACACCTCCAAATGGCCTGAACAACTCTCTAAAACAGGGATCTTCAAACTGGGCCCTTTTATGACTTGTGGACTTCAACTCCCAGAATTCCTCAGCCAGGCACACGTGCCTGGCTGAGGAATTCTGGGAGCTGAAGTCCATAAGTCATAAAAGGGCCAAGTTTGAAGACCACCTGGCTGAGGAATTCTGGGAGTTGAAGTCCACAAGTCATAAAAGGACCAAGTTTGAAGACCTCTGCTCTAAAGGAATGCAAAAAGCCATCTCTCTCTCTCTCTGCAAGGAACAGTGCTTTTTTTCTAAAAAAAAAAAAAGGTGCCGGAACTCACACATGTCATACAACCCGCCTTGCCTACCCTATAAGGTTCCATCCAAAAAAGGTGCCGGAACTCCATTCTGGGCGTTCTATGAGAAAAAAAAGCTCTGGCAAGGAATATGAATCGTCCCATTCCCCACCATCCAGTCAGAACTGAAAAAGCTTCTTGGATGAGAAGCGAAATGTCTTCAAAGAAAATCAACCGTGACCTGGTTGACTGAGAATCTCCACAGACATCTTCCAAAGGAGTAATCCATATCATTTTTATTTGTGATTTCCATACATGTGCCTTTTTTTGTATTTATGGAATTTGTCGGTTCAATTTTGTAATTTCCTTATTACAGGAGGTGGAGAGGGTCATGTGCTGACATCAAGAGGGGGAATTACAAAGTGTTTCCCTCCTTTACCCAATGGCTGACTTCACACAACTTTAACTGTATGCATAACATTAACACATTGCACAAACACAATCGAATAGTCCTCAGTTAACAGCTGCCTCGTTCGGTGATTGTTCAAACTTACACGGGAGCTGTGAAAGTAGATTGATGACTAAACCTTGAACTTCTGGCTGTCGCAGTGTCCCTGCAGTCACAGGATCACCATTCAGGCGCTTGACAAGAATTGTGCACTTATAGGTCACAGCATCCCACTGTTACACGATTAGCATTTGTGATCTTCACAGCTGGCTTCTGACAGGCAAAGTCAATGGGCAAGCTGGCAGGAAATTACAAATTGTGCTTCAGTGATGTTGTCGTTGTACGGTAGTGACTGGGGGCAATTTGCTTAAGGACCGCATCTGAACTGATGTCCTCATTTGGGCACAGTCATGCAATATTTCACTT